TTGAACACTTTGTCCTTAAGATGAATTTGCCCCGCATCGGTACTAATGGTTTTTCAACAATCATTTCCCAAGATACAACGGCCACATTAAGTCATAGTAGCACTCCAAATGACTTCGACCAGCAAACTCCAATGGAATTTTCTCTCTACCATAAACATGACTTGGATGCAAGATATAATCACTTTTTACAAAGTGTTTTATGCAACATGACATGAAATGAATAATATGAAATTATGTAGAATGAAAATAAACTTCCAAGGGATCCTATATATAGAGCATGAAGGGATGTGGGTGAAGGGAAACACCCTAAATTCAGCAATTTCCATGGAAAGTTGTAACCTAATTGTCACTAGCTTTTCGCCCGTGTGTTGCTCGAGCGACAAAAACAACGAGCCTATTGCTCATTTTTCTCTGACCCATCGTTCGAGTGATGGTCTTACCCGCTGAATTTCGATTTCCTTCAAATATTGGACCTAATTTCTCATTCATACAAATTGGTCTTGAACCAATTTCCAACATTTCCTTCCATTCGTCAATTGGACTTTTGATCTTCATGGAACTGTGTTGTTCTTTTTTCGACCAGACAATAGCTTGTTCCGATATTTTATAGAACCCAATGACTAATAAGAGATTGTCACTGTTAGATTGAGATCCTTGAAGGGGCTTAAATCCAAAGGCAAACTTTCCTAAAGGTGAGCTCCATGGATCGTTAGAATCTCAGTGTATAACATAGAGAACAAACGCCAACATGAGAGAGAAAGAAATGAGTAGTGCCATTTTAAGGAGAGCAAGGAAAGTTTAAAGACACCATCAATAGTGTATAACTCTATCTTTGTATACTATTTTTTTTTTTTTTGAGAAAGTTAAAATAATATTCATAAGCTATGGCGATGGTTTTGAATTATAATAATAAAGAAAATTTATGTAGCGCTTTTCATCTTAAGGGTTGCCGATAAATCATTTATTACTATTTAGTAATCCCAAATCACTACTAAGCTCTTGTTTGTCATCATTTAACAAATTAAATTTTTGCTACAATAACATTCTTCACCACACGTTCATATAATAAAATATCATGCATACAAACCAATAAAGTTTTTTTAAAATTTCAACCACACATTCTCTGAAAAATACTATTCAAAACTCTATAATTTTGTTGGGAAATTTCAATTATTGCAAGAATAAATTTTCCAATCCAAACAATTAGTTAGAACGATTAACTATGCAAATGAATAATCCAAACAAAAAATAAGAAAATGCAACACTAAATTTTTATGTGGAAAAAACCCTCTAGTGTAGAGGGAAAAAACCATGAGGCAACTCCGACCAAAATCCACTATAATTAAAATATAGATTACAATATTCAAGTTTATGTCTCAAATCTTGAATTCTCCACAAATTGGAATTACCACAATAACCAAACTCTAAGACAACAATTTATCTTACCACAAATCACCAAATTGATTAATCTTGTGAGAACCCACTTTGAATATTACACCTATGAAGTATCCAAAATACAACTTAGAGAAAATCCTAATTTGTATTATGTAGAGAAAAAAAATAACCTGTGTGAATCCACACCCGAATTGAAGAAAAAAAAAACCTTCTTCAACAGCAACAGTTTATTTCTTCTTCTTTTTCACGCACAGCCACAGTTTTCTTATTCTTCAATTGTAGCCACCTTTGTTGACTTTTCTAATGGTAGCTTTTGTTTTTCTCTGACACAATTTTGAAACCAAGAATTCTATCTCTCTCTACCACCCAGCCACCTTTTTTTTTGAAGAATACATATATATATGTATGTATGTTTTTGTAGCTACTTTTGTTGACCTAAATTAAAATAAAGAGACTTGAGCTTTTTTTTCCTCATGGGTTGGACGAGCCAATCTCCCCCTTGAGCCCACTGAGGAAGGAGATTATACTCTAACAAATTAGTTAGAGTCCATGCCGACCAATCTGGCAGAAAGCTCAAGCTTTTCTCTGGTCACAATCTTTGTCATAATATCAACTGGGTTCTTTTCTGTACGAATCTTCTCTAACAATATCAATTGTTCTACCACTACAAGTCGTTGTCAATGATATCTCACATCTATATGCTTCGTCCGAGAATGTTAAGTAGCATTCTTGCTCAAGTCTAATGCACTATGACCGTCACAATTAAGTACATACACATCTTGCTTCAAACCTAAATCTTGGAGAAACCATTTCATCCAAAGCATTTCTTTTGCTGCTTCAGTCCCTACAATATACTCAGCCTCAGATATAGAGAAGGCAACAAACTTTTGTAATTTTGACTGACATGAGACAGCTCTCCCTGTAAAAGTAATCAAATATCTTGAAGTTGATTTTCTACCATCAAAATCACCAACCATATCTGCATCTGTAAATCTCTCCAAAATTGGATTTGAACCTCCAAATGTCATGCACGTCTTAGAAGTACCTCTCAGGCATCTAAAAATCCTTTTCACTGCCTTCCAATGATCTTTACCGGGATTAAGAAGAAAATTGCTGACTAACCCAACTACATGAGTAAAATCTGACCGTGTACAAAACCATGGCATACATCAAACTCCCAACCGAAGATGAGTAAGGGATTTTTGCCATTATTTCTTTATCTTTCTCCTTAGAAGAACAAGTCACCTTACTCGATTTGAAGTGACTACCAAGTGGTGTCCCGACAGGTTTAGCATTATTCATGTTAAACTTTTCCAGTACTCTCTCTACATGTTTCTCTTGTGATAACCATAACTTTCTGGCTTTCCCATTAGGACGAATATGCATTCCTAAGATTTGTCTTGCTGATCCAAGATCCTCACGTCAAACGACTTGAACAAGTCTACTTTCAAATCGTGAATTAACTGAACATCCTGTCCCACTATCAACATATCATTTACATATAGCAAAAGGATAAGTTACCACCATGGAATTCTCTAACATAAACACAATGATCTGCTGTCTTGGTATGACCATGACCCACCATAAATGAATCAAACTTCTTATACCACCATCTTGGAGCTTGTTTCAATCCATACAAACTATTTTCAACCTGCAAACCATATGTTCTTTTCCTCTTACTTTAAATCCCTCTGGCTGAACCATGTAGATTTCTTCCTCCAAATCACCATGGAGAAAGGCGATCTTGACATTTAACTGCTCAAGCTCAAGATTCAGACTAGCTACTAAACTCGAAACTACTCAAATAGAAGTCATTTGACAACAGAAGAGAATATCTCATCAAAGTCAATCATTTTCTTCTGACCGAAGCCTTATACTTCAGTAGCTTTTCACCATCTTTCTTCAGTTTGAATACCCATTTATTTCTCAGTGCCTTTTTACCTTTAGAAAGCTTTATTAGCTCATAAGTGTTATTCTTCTGTAAAGAATTCATCTCTTCCTGTATAGCCTTCACTCAACTTTGTTTGTCCTTATGAGATTCTACTTCCTAAAAACATTCTGGCTCCCCTTCATTAGTTATCAATACATAATCTGATATTGGATACCTGATTGATGGACGATGTTTCCTAGTAGATCTTTTGATATGAGGTTCTGATGTAGTAGACTGCTCCCACTGGTCAACATCCTTTAAATCATCCTCATTAACCCTTGCTGGCTCATCAGCATGATTATCGACGTGTGTCTCTACCCCTCTGAGTGGCACTGTCTAAAGGGACAGAGACATGTGTAAGGTCAGTGATACCCTCAATAACACGTCTTTGATTCCCAGATTTCTCAACATCTGCCAACTTCTAATTTTCATAAAAAATCACATCTCTACTTCTGAATATTTTCTTCTTTTCTAGATCCCATAATCTATAACCAAATTCTACATCTCCGTAGCCAATAAAAATGCAAGGACTAACTTTCTCATCTAACTTCAACCGTTGTTCTTTAGCCACACGTGCAAATGTGTTGCATCCAAAAACCTTCAAGTGATTTAGCATGCTGTTGGGCAATTTCAATTATTGCAAGAATAAATTTTCCAATCCAACCAATTAACTAGAACATTTAACTACGCAAATAAATAATCCAAGTAAAAAATAAGAAGATGCAACACTAAATTTTTACGTGGAAAAAACCCTCCAGTGTAGAGGGAAAAAACCACAGGGCAACTCCGACCAAAATCCACTATAATTAAAATATAGATTACAATATTCAAGTTTATGCCCCAAAACTTGAATTCTCCACAAATTGGAATCACCACAATAACCAAGTTCTAAGGCCACAATTTATCTTACTACAAATCACCGAATTGATTAACCTTGTGAGAACCCACTTTGAATACTACACCTATAAAGTACCCAAAATACAACTTAGAGAAAATCCAATTTGTATTATGTAGAGAAGAAAAATAACATGTGTGAATCCACACCCAAAGTGAAGGAAAAAACATTCTCCAACCGCAACAATTTATTTCTTCTTCTTCACACACAACCACAATTTTCTTATTCTTTAATTGTAGCCACCTTTGTTGACTTTTCTAATGGTAGCTTCTTTTTTTTTCTCTCACACAATTTTAATCATTAGTACAGGACCCGCCATTTGCATTTCCCAAACAAATAAATTCACACGGTAACTAAGAAAGAATTTGTAAGTTACATGTATTAATAGTATGAGGCCCACCACTACCTCACAAATATAAAATAGTATATTTAAAAAAAAAAGAATTTGTTTTATATATATATATATATTGTTTTATATTGTTCTTAGTCACCTTGATCAAGAACTTTATGATGCTTAAAATAATATTGGATGTTAACTGGGGCGAAATTTTTCATTCTAATTATATGAAGTTTGCAAGCAAAGTATGATGATTAATGAAAATAATCATAGTTGGTTTCGGTACAATTTGTTTATATTTTAATTGGGTTTGATATTGGAAGGTTTAGAATGTTAATTAACGGGTTCTTTTTAAGGAAAACAGTTTCTTTGTGTCTTCATACGGTAATAGTATTTAATTAAATTTTTTTTCCTGAAGGTCAATGTGTTTAGACGTATTGAGCATGGAAGAAGAAATTACAACTCAAACATTCACACCGCGAGTTGAGAAGGAACACAAGCCTAAAGTTGGTCAAGAATTTGAATCAATTGAAGTTGCATATGAATTTTATAACAACTACGCAAAAGAAGCTGGATTTAGTGCTCGAATGTCAACTACTAAGAAGAGATCAGGTGCAAATGGGCACATCCTAAAAAAATTTGTATGTTACAAAGAAGGACAGCAGATGAAAATTATTAGAAAAAGTTGAAGCACGCTATTCAATGGAGTGGTTAAAGAAATAGGGAATTGTTCGTGTGGCTTGCAAGGCTAAAATAATTGTGGTTAGGAATAAATCATCTCCTTATTGGATTGTTAGTAGTTTATTGGAGACACATAATCATGCACCCACGACTCTATCTAGATTACACTTATTGAGGTTGCATTGCCACATTTCAAATGCGAAGAAGGCTTTGGTACAACAATTATTTGAAGCAAACGTGTCGACCAATCAACAGATAAGTTTGATGGAAATTGAATATGGAGGTCCTCAAAATATTGGATGTATAGAGAGAGACATCCGAAATTACGAAAGAGATTTGAAAGAAGAAATTAAGGGAATTGATGCAGAGTCATTGATAGAGACATTTGCTTTAGGGAAGGAAAAGGATTCAGGTTTTTACTTTGATTTTGATAAAGACGGTGATGATAGATTGGTTAGGTGTTTTTGGGTTGACTCTTTCTCAAGGAGGGCATATAACTTTTTTGGTGATGTAGTTGTTTTCGATACTACGTACAACACAAATAGATATAGGATGATTTTTGCTCCATTCATCGGAGTTAATCATCATGGTCAGACAATATTATTTGGTTGTGGATTTTTAAGTGATGAGACAATTGATTCGTTTGTTTGGTTACTCGGTTAATGGATGAATGCCATGCCTAGGGAAGCACCACAAATGATCATCACAGACCAAGATCCTGCATTGACAAGAGCAATTGCACAAGTTATTCCGAATACATTTCATCGTTATTGCATATGGCATATCCTGAACAAATTTTTTGAAAAGCTTAACACGGTAATTTATCGAGACAACTACCATTTGATGAAAAACATTATCATGAAATCAGAGGATAGTGAAGATTTTGAAACTAGTTGGATGAATATGTTACAATCAACTAAATTGGGAGATAATGATTGGCTTTAGCAAATACATGAGATGCGTAGTAGATGGGTCCCTACATTTGTTAAACATATCTTTGCAGTAGGAATGTCGAGTAGTCAAAGTGTAGAAAATTCTCATTCATTTCTCAAAAGGTACATTTCAAAGAAAAACTCATTGATGGATTTTATTATACACTTTAATAGAGTCCCTGGACACCAAAGGCATCATGAGTTGATGGCTAACCATTGTGATATTAATGAACAACCAAGGATGAAATCCTTATGGCCAATGGAATTTCAAATGTCAAAGATTTATACAAGAAAAGTTTTTCAAAGTTCTCAAGAGGACACATTTGAGAGTCAAGCCTACGTCATACATAATTTATTTGAAGATGAAGCTAGTGTGATTTATACAGCTACAAGGGTGGAAGAATCTTCCTCATCAAAATGCCGAAAACTTAATTATAGCAAGTTTTTAGATATTGTATGTTGTAATTGTCAACGATTTGAATGTGAAGGAATTCCATATAGGCATCTGCTGGCATATTTCAGGATCAAACAAATTTTACAATTGCAAACTCAATATATTCTTCAAAGGTGGACCAAACATGCGAAAGTTGGCCAAGTATGGGACAAGGATCATGAAGAATTGAATGACATTCCTAACCAATCATTGATGTCACGGCATTCAAATTTGTCTCAATTATTGTCGGTTGTTATTGATGATGCATCTCTTACTGAGGAGGGAACTAATCTCTTGAGGAATGGGTTGGAGGATCTTTATAATAAAAAAAAAAAAGGAGATTAATATTGGTAATGGTGTGGAGCGGGTATTTATGGGACAAAAAAATCCTCGAGAAAAATTTCTCATCAATGAACAACTATGAGTAAGAGCCAAGGGGTGTGGAAAAAGATTAAAAAAATCAAAAGAGAAAAAAGTGAACAAAGAAAGGGTTTGTTATGGATGTGGACTACGTGGTCAATCGCACGATAAGCGAAATTGTCTGACATTACTTGAAAGGTATTTTCTAATATTTTCATGATTAATACTATGTTCTTGTTTTTCAGTTTTATATCTTTTCTTATTGCTTTCTCGTTTTGCAAGTAATTCAATTTGATTCACAATGTGGAAGGTCAAACATTTTGGAAGGAAACTAATTTCCAGATGTTGTAGTATTGGCAATTATGGGAGAAATGACAGTATATTCTAGACTTCTTCGATGAAATTATTGTATTTTGTTGTTTCAATTTTTTGCAGTTGAACCTCATTGCTATGAAGAATTTTTGCATGCCTAATGTCAGTTAGATGCTCTATGTAATTTGTTTTATTGTTGAACCTTTACAAATGCATTTCTATTGAATTTCGGAATCACTTTGCCAATGCATTCCAGTTGTACCATCATAATTTAGGAGTCACTTTGCATTTTGTTACAATAACATAATTTCGGATGGTGTGAATTGAAATTAGGTTCTTGATGTAATAACATTTGTAAAGTGATTCTAAACTACAATGTGGTTCGAAAACTATGTTATTGAAATTAATTTCTCGTAACAGAAATATTAAATAAATAAAATAATTAGGTGAAAATATTTAGCCCAATCTTTGAACAGTAAAATAATTAGTCAATGAATAGATAAAATAATCAAACAACTAAAATTAACCTAATCTTTGCACATGTATAATTTAACAAATGGCGTTAATTAGGTTTTTATATATTATTATATATTTGTGAGATAGTGGTGGGCCCCATACAATTAGTACATGTAACTTACAAATTCTTTCTTAGTTACCGTGTGAATTTATTTGTTTGGGAAATGCAAATGGTGGATCCCATGCTAATAATTAAAATTGTAGGTTCATGGGTTGGACGAGCCCATATAACAAATTTCTCTCATGGTGGGAGACAAATATGCTCTAAATAGAAGGACATATATATGAACAACTGCGTATGAGACGATATGTTTAGAAGTCGTGGCATCATTGAAATCATATTAGAATTTCCACGAGGATATAGAATAGGTTGATCTATACAAAACCAACTCATCATTCACTGCCAATTTACAAGCAAAATAGGATTCTGAATAGATTAGTCATTTCAGAAACATAATTGTTCAGTACACACTTGGTAAATCCTATCATTTTTGTACTCATTTGAACCTTATGTTCATCCAAATGATATGATTATATCCCTTTTTTCCAATGAATTTTCAGTCACCAGATAATTTGTGGACCAATAAAAAATTACTCTTTTGCTGTAACTTTTAGTAAGATGGATTGAAGAGGACGACACACGCAAGCTGACAGATTTAGTCACGCAGTTCTCTTCTTTAAATTATTTAGTCAAGCATATAAAAGATGCCATTTTTGTGCAAGTGATCTAAATTCATTGCTGAAAACTAAGGCATTAAGGCTACTAGATAGAGTAAAATTTTACATAGAACTCAAGAAAGAAGGTTGCTTTGCTTAAACATAAAACTTTGCAAGCAAAATTCTAGTCAAGCCATACTCTACAAACAGCAAAGTATATATCTATATTATCATTTATATGAAATCAAGACTGATAATTCAAGACGAACTAAATGCTGAAGGACGAGGAGGGATGGGAACTTCAGCAACTCCTTCAAGCATCTGCGTAATTCTTCTCATGGAAGGCCTTATTGAAGG